AGGTGAGATCGTCAGTATTGACCGACTCAAACCGGCGCACTTTCAGGAAACCGCCTCTCCCGTCAGTGGTCCTTACCCGCTGCGCCACCCGCAAATTTCGTCCCAACAAGTCCCGCTCCCACCACCCCGGTAAACCCCGAAACACCCCTGGAGCAGGCACCCGATCCCAACCCTCCACATCGGATCACTATTCACGGAAGAGTCTTTAAGCTACCTGCACGTTTTGCGTTGCAGGACGTTTTTACTGTTACCAGCATACAGACACATTCAGACTGAGATATATATATGGGTTCTCTTTCACCTGTGTATTCATATATGCATGCAAAAGCCAAAAATTACAGCAAAAAATTCTTTATGTCATTTTTAATCTTTTTCCATCATCTTCTACGTTTTTTCTGTTTACATATACACATACTGAAAACAAAACGAAAAAACCAAAAACCTTGTCCTTTTTATTGTGTTTATCTTCGCATCACAGATTAGCTCCAACAAGGGCTGCTTTGACCATCTTTCTTCCGTTCTCTTCCAGGTTCTGATCTCGGCTCGGGAGAAAAACTTCGACCTCGAAACTCTGGAGGAAATCTACGGTCAGAAAAACGCAGAGACCCCAAAACTCGATAGGTAAACTTGGATCAGGGAACGCAGCAAGAAAGAAGACTGGCCTGTTTCTCCACCCCTCCCACCGCTCCAGCACACTACGGTTATCAAAGACCTGAATGCCCCGTCAGTTTTACACTGGCTTGTACCCAGCTGCGACGATCCTCCTATTTTCTCTGAAGAGAAACCAAAACGTGCAAGTGGTGAAACGACGACGGGCCTGCGGACGCTTTTCCACGCCAGTTTCATTTCCCCACATTTCTCTTGTGAACCAGCATCCCTTACCACATCAACTGGAAATATTTTAACGTTGATTCCCAATATTCCGTGACAACCCAAAAAGCGATCAAATTTTTCAGATTAGCAAACTATACCAAACGACGTGCGCAGCCTTATCGAAGGCTCTCCTTAGCCTTCTACTAGGGGAGAGCTCTGTAGTGACATCAACCAACTCCCCCGCCAATTCCATTGTGTATATCTTTTAATTCGACCTTCTATATACCTACACTGTTAATGTAAATATGATTACTTTGAACATATGATCATGCTCTGTGCATGCCTCACGGGCTTCGTGAAATATACACTATTATTATTATTATTACATACCCTTCCCCCTTTACATCTCATTGTTTTACCCCACCAAGACCACCTCTTTGGTCAGCACGTGTTTGCTTTCAATTTCTGCACGCTTGTTCACACTTTCGCATCCTCCTTTTGATCTGCAGCTTATAACATTACAACCGAACTCGGTTTCGTCAAATATCTGGTTTTGCTTTCGTACGAACGCTTGTTTGCGATATAGCCTTATTACCTCGGGGTCATCGTTAAGCCAGCGCCGATATGGGAATGGGCCTACAAAAGAGGTCTAATGAGATCAACGCCGCGGTCCACAAGGTTAGGTCTAATCCGTCACACACGCTGGAATGTGCATTGCAACTAAGGAGGAAAGCGAAGTGGCTTGGGAAATGGAAGAAGCCAAGACCACAGCCGTAAACCCTCCAAAACCGGGGTAACGCCTCGGACATTACGCTTGAGGATCATCTCCAAGTGAGTTTCCCATCCAGCAGGCATGCTCAAGCAGGCACGGTCACACNACTGTGGTACATCAATGTTTGCAGCATGCGGGTTCAGTAGGGATAGGGGAGAAGGCGCAACCCAAGGATAGATATCTTGGCCATAACTGAATCTTGGATGTGGAGGCACCACAGCACCAGAGGAATGGATGACTATAAACTTATAGACAAGATAGGATGGATGGAAGGCAAGGAGGAGGGATTCTGCTAAGGATAAAGCCAGATTACAAGCAGTGGGAGGGAACAGAAGCCCGAGCGACTCCTAAAATGAAAGCCACCAGTTGGGTAGTTCAAATAGACAGAAACGCATTAGCCGTCATGTGTGTCTGCCGGGACCCGCAGGCGGATGCAGCAGAAGATCAGGAATTGATTGCTCAGCTGCAGTTATTCCTTGCTAAGTTAAGAAGAGTTATTAAGGGACTTCAACATGCTAGAGATTGACTGCAATAAAGACAGGGCGCCGCCAGGTACCGGAGGGGGATCGCTTCTAGCGTGGCTACATAAGCACGCATTATCACAACACATGCGACTAGCCACCTGGTTTAGAGCAGATGACAGGCCGTTCATATTGGATCTAGTGGATCTAGCGATCACGAGAACCCCTATGGATATAAGGACAATAAACCAGGAGCATCCTCTGGGGAAAAGTGATCTTGTGGTCCTGCGACTAACGCTAGAACACAGGCACACCAAACCAGTGGCCAAACTAGGGGGGGGTGATATGGCAGAATCAAGCGGGACAAATTGTTCAGAGCGGCACAGAATATAAACAGGGTACCCAAACCAGCCGATGAATCTCTGGAAACCGGATGGAGCGGTACCAAGGCAGTACCACTCCTACTCACGGCCCAGTTAACATCTGGTAGTGGCGTGGCATCCCAACTATTGAGAGTTTTAAAACCGACCTATTTTAAATGTATTTTAGAAAAAGCGATGTCGAATTCAGCCGAAATGGAACAAATTTTGCTTTTGGCTGATTCTGAGTTATTTGTTCAAATTTAATTTGTGTTAATTGACCTAATTGACTTTGTCCAGAAAGTATAAATACCGCAACTTAATTCAGACGATCACTTCCACACTCGTACCAACGAAATGGTCGTTTTTCAACTAATGGTAAGAAACTGCTATGGCCCGCTGGACGGATTCTTAGAGGAATTCCGTGAATTACAAACGGTTACCAGCACTTCCTTCTACGTTTATGCATCAATGACAGCCAAACAACTGATAAGAGAGAAAGTTTGGTCGGAAACTGACGCCGCCAGGGGTTTTTCCCTACTATTTAATCAAATATTGCTATGTACATCATCGAAGGAGCGGCGCAACTGCAACCAGGTGATTATGGATCTATAATGTATTGAACTCATTTTAGGCTTCAAAATAATAATTGTCCGGAATTGGCGCGGTCGGGAGGGAGTATTGAGTGATGAAACGTTGTCTGGTGCACAACCATGGGGGTCAGCAGGGTTTGTATATAAGTGACCGTCGTCTATCTGGAGAACAGGAGGAAAAAGTGTGTTCTTTGACGGGCAATTTTAGAAGTACTCCCGAGCTAAGGAATTTCGCCACACACAGGTTCCAGAGACCCTTGACTACGGTAGATATTAGATCCATACGTCGAAGAATATCTCATTCGGATTCACGTTTTGATGCGGGGGAAGTTCGGAATTTGCTGGAGAATCAGGGAGAGATTAGGATAGGGCTGAACGAAGGCGTCAGTCATCACATTTATTTTGTTCCTGAGATTATGCTGCACTGCGTCGCCAGGTTTACTGATGTTTTGTTAGCAGACGCTACGCATCAGCCAAACCGTATTAGGTACGTGTTTGGCATGCTGTGCTTGTAGACGACACCGGTTTAGGTAGAAGTTTCTTCCACGCTATCTTTCAGAATGAGAGCGGTGAGAGCTATAGATCTGGAGTGGGAGCCACGAAAGCTATTTGCCCAACCTTTGCACCGTGCAAGAGTATAGTAGTTGATCGTAGCTTGGCTCAGTACAACGCGTTTTCAGAATATTTTCCATCCTCTAATTTGATTTTCTGTCGTTTCCATCTGGTTAAGGATATGAAGAAGAAAGGTAACCAGCTATCTGGAATGCCAACGATCGAAAAGCAGCGCATCTTTCAATGGATGCGAACATGGTGTTCTGTGATAGTGAGGTATCGTTTCGTAGATTCCTATCCGCCGTAGAAAGTCGTAGCACAGAAGAAAGGTGTTTATTTCCGCCGAACTCGGTTACCATATCGAGAGCAGTGGGCAGGGTATGCCGTGAGGACTAGGTTGACTTTAGGAAACCCTAACGACCAACCGAGTGGGGACGGAAAATAGGCACCTCAAGACAGGCTTGTCTCCTCGGTCTTCATTAGTGAATGTGCTACAACGAGTAAGGTCACTGGAAGTGACGCGTGGATTTCGTCTCGCTAAAGATTCCGTGAGGGAGTATTCGACACCCAGAGGCATGCGGTCGTTTAAACCGTTGCTCATACGAGTAACACCATTTGCGCCGAATATATTATTAAGTAACTGGGAGTCATGTAAGATTGAACGAATTGTTCACGAGAGAGGGTTCTTCATGGTCGTGGATAAAAGGGGCAAAGGTTATAAGGTAGTTGTTGCAGGGGAAACGAAGTGTGAGTGTAATTTCTATGCGCAATGGTTGTTGCCCTGCTTGCATATAGCCAGGATATTCGATCTGATTAATTGGGATATTCAAAGTCTTATTCCAGATAGGTGGATTATGAACCGCACCGAAAACCATTCAGATCAGAACTCCATTGTGATAATAGCGGCCTCAAGAAAAGTCATGGGTAAGCCGTCAAAGTTAGCTCAAACAGAGGATGTCCTTCCAGGGCTGGGTGTCTCTTTGAATAGTTTAGGTACAGTGAATTACAATTTTCAAGGCAATCAACTTCGACGTGTAGCAGCTATGATGGAAAAGTACCCGGACATCCAGATATTATTCGACAGACAGGGCTTGGCAACACAGACTACGGAGATTAAGCGTACCTGTCTTCCGTCTACGAGCGTCAAGGTGAGAACCAATAATCCACCAGTAGCTTCAAAAAGCGGTTGTATTGAAAAGCGGAATTCAGTTTTAGTGAGTAGATCAATCAACAAAGAGGACGACGAAATAGACCTAGGTGACCCACTGGAGCGTGCTGCGTTCCGAAGACTGCCAACAACGATATCAGCAAAGTGCAAACTGGGCGCTAAACGCAAAAGAGAAACCAATCCGGCATCACCGATGAAGGCGAATTGTTGCAGTGTCTGCAAGTTTGCGAGCAATACGGTCGATTTGGACGATGAGCATTATTGGATCCAGTACCAGAAATGCGGGCAACAAACACAACAAAGTTGCGCTCCTTATGGTGTAGAGGAAGCACGTATTTCTGTGAATTGTATGGCAGCCCTTCGATTGGCCGCTTCCCCCTTCCTGAAAATTGTATCTTTGTATATTCAATAAAAGGAAGTAAAATGAAAAAGAAAATAGAAATAAAAAGTCAAAGAGCGTGGAATTCAAAAGGTCAAACTGACAGAAAACGGCAATTTTAAGGCAACCCCAAAATCAGTTATGCGTGGTTGAGTTAGGAATGATGTCCAGGGAGCAAGATATTGGTACGCAATGCATTTGAGATCGGATTTGTGTGAGTCCTTAGAATACTTCTTTGTCAAGCTCATTCCCAGGTGGATCGACCACGCGGGTATTTCCCATTCGTCGACGAACTTAGGCTGAAAGTTTCAGAATAGTATTTCGAACAGCTTTTGATAGTTTCATCCAGCATGCAGTTCTTATTGCTTATTGCTTAAAAATTTCACTATGGGACACTTCGAAAGCTGACGAAAAGTTACTTTATTCTCCTATTAGTTGATCAACTCAGGCTGGAAGTTTCAAAATGGTAATATAAATAGCTTTTGATAGTTCTATGGAAGGTGCAGGTCTTATTCATTAAGTTTAGCTCATATCAGAATGTCACTGTGGGACACTTCGAAAGCTGACAAAAGGTGACTTTTCTTTCCTATTCGTTGATTATCTTGGCTGAAAATATCAGAATAGTATTTCGAATAGCTTTTCACGGTTCTATGGGAAGTGCAGTTCTTATTAATGGAATTCAGCTCCTTTAACAATTTCACTATGGGACACTTCGAAAGCTGACCATAAAGTTACTTTCCTTGCCAATTCATCGAGGAACTTAGGCTGGAAGTTTGAGAATAGTATTTAGAATAGCTTTTATTATATCCATGCAAGTTAAACATCTTGATGATGGAGTTAACTCGTTTCAAAAGTTCACTATGGGACACATTAAAATGTGAGAAAAAGTTACCTTGATTTCATATTCATCGATCATCTTGGGTGAAAGTTTCAGAATAGTATTTCGAATAGATTTCGGCAGTTCTATGTATGGTGCAGTCCTCAATGATGGAGTTTAGATATGTCAATGTGGTACAATTCAAATGCTGACAAAAAGTTACTTTTTTCCCATTCGTCAATCATCTAAGGTTGAAAGATTCAGAATAGTAGTTGGAATGGCGTTTGACACTTCTATAGAAGGTGCAGTTCTTACAGATGGAGTTTCCGAATATCATTAGGATACACTTCGTAAGCTGGCGAAAACTTATTTTCATATCCTATTCGTCGATGATCCTAATAGGAACGTTTGCGGATACTATTTCGAATAGCTGTGTACAGTTCAATTGATGGGGCAGCTCATATTGATGGATTTTTTTCTCGCTTCCAAATTTCTTTGAGATACCTTTCGTATGCTGGCAAAAACTTATTTTTATTTCCAATTCGTCGATCATCTTAGGCTGAACAATTCAGAATAGTATTTCGAATAGATTTTGATGGTTTTAACCAGGATGTAGCTCTCATTGATGGAGTTTAGCACGTTTCGAAATATAACTGCGGGATACTTCGAAAGCTGACAACTAGTTACTTTTATTTCCTATTCGGCGCCGACCTTAGGTGACAGTTTCAGTATAGTATTTCGAACAGTTGTTGACAGTTCTAAAGAACTTGCAGTTCTGATTGATGGAGTTTTGTCTCGTTTCAACGTTCACTGTGCGAGACTTCGAAAGCTGACAAAACGGTACTTTTATTTCCTATTCGTCGATCATCTCAGGCTGAAAGTTTCAGGATAGTATTTCGAATAGGTTTTCACTGTTCTATGCAACGTGCAGTTCTCATCAACCGAGATTTGCTCGCTCCAAAATTCCACTATGCGACACATCGAAAGCTGATAAAAGGTTGTTTTTATTTCCTGTGCATCGATCATCGTAGGCTGAAAGTTTCAGAATAGTATTCCGAATAGCTTTTGACAATCTAAGGAAAACGCAGATGTAATTCATGGAGTTTTCGTCGTTTCGAAATTTCATTATGGAAATTTCGAAAGTGATAAAAAGTTACGTTTATTTGCTGTTCGTCGATCATCTTAAGCTAAAAGTTTGAGAAGTGTTTGAAATAGGTTTTGACAATTCTGTGAAAGTTGCATTTTTTATTGATGGAGTTCAGCTCGTTTCAAAATATCACTATGGGAGACTTCGGAAGCGGGCAAACAGTGACTTTCATTTCCTATTCTTCGATCATCTTAGGCTAAAAGTTTGAGAATAGTTTTTTGAATTTCATCTGACATTTCTGTGGAAGGTTCTGCTCTTATTACCCAAGTTTAGCTCGCTTCAAAAGTTAAGTATGCCACACTTGGAAAGCTGACAAAAAGGTAATTGTATTTCCTAATAGTTGGTGATAGTAGACTGAAGAATTCAGAATTTTATTTCGAAAAACATTTGACAGTTCTATGGCAGGTGCAGTTCTTATTGATGGAGTTTAGGTGGTTTCAAAATTTCACTATGGCACACCTCGAAAACTGAAATAAAGTTACTTTCTCTTCTTATTCGTCGATAATCTTAGGCTTATTGTTTCCGAATGGTATTTCGAACAGCTTTTGACAGTTCTATGGAACGTGCAGGTCCTATCGGATAACAGTTTTGCTGGCTCATAAATTTCACTAAATGACACTTACTACGAGGACAAAATGTTAATTTTATTTACTATTCATCAATAATCTTAGGGTGACAGTTGTAGAATAGTATTTACTTTCATTTCCTCTTCGTCGATCGTGTGAAACTGCTCGTTTCTGAATAGTACTCGGAAGGGATTTTGACAATTGTTTGGAAAGTGCAGTTCTTATTGATGGAGATAAGCTCGTTTCCAAATATCACTGTAAGTAACTTCAAAAGCTGACATAAAGTTACATTGATTTCCTGCTCTTCCATGATCTCGAGCTGAGTATTTCACAAAAGTATTTCCAACAGATTTTGACAGTTGTATGGATGGTGCAGTTTTTATTGATGGAGTGTATCTGGCTTTTCTTGTTTCAAAATTGGATACATGGGAATTTGATAAAAAGTAAATTCATTCCACATTTCCCGATCATATTACCCTGAAATGTAAGAAGAGCATTTCGAGTAGCTTTCCACAGTGCTATGGAAGTTGTAGTTCGAAATAACGGAGCTTCTTTCAGAGTTTAACTGTAGGACTATTCGAAAGCTGAAAAAAGGTGACTTTCATTTTATATTCATCAAAGATCCTTTGCTGTAGGTGGAAGAATAGTACTTCGAAAAGCTTTTGGCAGTTTTATGGAAGGTGCAGTTATTTAGGATCGAACTTGGCGCAAAATTTCACTTTGGATGACTTCAAAAGCTGACATAAATTTGCTTTTATTTCTTATTCGTCGATCAGCTGGAAGTTTCAGCATAGTACTTCGAATAGCTTTTGCCAGTTCTATGGAAGTTGCACTTCTCATTGATGGAGTTTAACTCGTTTCACTATTTCACTATTGAACACTTTTATAGCTGACAATAAGTTACTTTTATTTTTTATTCGTGGATTTTCTTAGGTTGAGAGTTTCAGTATAGTATTTCGAATAGCCTTCGACGGTTCTAAGGGAGGTGCAATTCTTATTGATGGAGTTTCTCTCGTTTCATACTTTCAACATGGGACACTTCGAAACCTGACAAAAGGTGACTTTTATTTCCTATTCGTCGATGATCGTTGTCTGAAAGATTGAGAATAATATTTCCAAAAGCTTTTAACATCTTTATGGAAGGTGCAGTTCTTGTTGAAGGAGTTTCGCACGTTTGAAAATTTTACTTTCGGCTCTTCGAAACCTAAAAACTATACTTTCTCTTATTCGTCGAATATCTTACGCTGTTAGTTAAACAAATATATTTCGAATAGAATGTGAAAGTCCTATAGAAGGGGCGGTTATTATTGATGGAGCTTGGCTCGTTTCAAAATTTCACTGTGTGATAATTCGAAAGCTGACAAAAACTAATTTTAATTTGCTGTTCGTCGATGATTTTAGGTTGAAAGTTTCTGAGGTTTACTTGGAATAGGTTTGAACAGTTCTATGGAAGGTGGACTTCTTATTGATGGAGCTTGGCTCGTTTCAGAAGTTCACAATGGGTCACTTCGACAGCTGACGAAAACATACTTTTATTTCCTATTCGTCGATCGTCGTTGTCTGAAGGTTTCAAAATCGTCTTTCGAATAGCTTTTCTTAGTTCTTTAGAAGGTGCAGATCTTCTGGATTGAGTGTGGCTCGTTTCAACATTTCACTATGGGACATTTCCACAGCTAAAAACGTTACTTTTGTTTCCTTTTCATCGAATATTGTAGGCTGATCCTTGAACATTTTTTTTCGAATAGCCTTTTACAGTTCTATGAAGGATGCAGTTCTTATTGAGGGAGTTGAGATCGTTTCGAATTTTCACTATGGGACACCTCGAATGCCGACAAAAAGTTACGTTTATTTCCTGTTCGTCGATAAACCTAAGCAGATTTCCAAAGCTTAAAGCGTTAGCTTTGTTTACATTTCGTCGAATATCTAAGGCTCATAGGTAAAAAGAGATATTTCGGATAGCTTTTGACAGTTCTATGAAGGTACACTTCCTACTGATGGAGATTAGATCGTTTCGAATTTTCACTACGCGACACTTCGATATCAGTCATAAAGTTCCATTCATTTCCTGTTCGTCGAAGACCTCAGGCTGCACATTTGTCAAAAGAACCTGAAATTGCTTTCGACAGTTCAATCGAAGTTTCACTTCTTATTGATGGAGTTCAGCTCCTTTCAGAATTTCACCATCGGACACAACGAAAGCTGACCAAAAGTTACTATTACTTTCTTCCACGTCGAAAATTTTCGCTGAACATTTAAGAATAGTATTTCGAATAGCATAAGACAATTCGATGGAAGTTGCAGTTCTTATTGATGGAGTTCAGCTCCTTTCAAAATTTCACTACGAGACACTTCGAATGCTCAATGGGGGTTACATTTATTTCCTATTCTTCGAACATCTCAGACGGAAAATTGCAGAATAGTATATCGAATAAAATTTGAAACTTCAA